GGCCACTCAGTGTATATAATAATCCGGCCACTCAGTGTATATAATAATCCGGCCACTCAGTGTATATAATAATCCGGCCACTCAGTGTATATAATAATCCGGCCACTCAGTGTATGTGAGAGCTGGTATACCTGTTGTATATACAACTGCTGTCCATTCATTTCCTGACTTTTCCATACTGCTGTGAAGGGATTCAGTATTCTCGGGATGCGTTCCGGCTGCGGCGGTCTCCGTATACCGCGAGCTGTAGCTCTCTATATAATGAGCTTTGGGTGGCGGGAAGACGCTAGTTTGTGTCCTCATGTGACCCTGAGGAGAACTATGGGAAAAAGCACTGGCTGCAGGTATCAGAATACTGCCGCGCATGCGCAGTGACGTCTCGGCGGGGTGACACTCGGTTACCGCTCCGGGTGTCACCCAGCCTCGGGACACCCCTGACTGACCCCATAGTTCTCCTTTAAATCAGACGAGCGGGCTTTGACATGCGCTAATACTTTGATATTACGAATGAATAATCCCCGTTATTTTTCGGTCATTGTTATGTTTCAAGGAACGGGCGCCGCGGCGATGATTTTCACTTTTGTAAACAAGGGGAGAAAGGGAAAAAAAGAGGCATTTAATTATACGCGACTTGGATCCGGTTGCAGGAAGAGCGATAGTTAGACAGCCACCTGTGGAGCAAAATGATACATTAGCAGCACCAATGAAGCCGCGGACAGCTGAAGATCTCCATAAGAGCGACATTCTATTGTTGTATACACACACGCGCATGTGGCGGTATATACAGACATATTTGCAGTGCAGGCAAACCTACAAATAGAAACAATGTAAACATATATATGCAGCGCTCAGCCGCGTATGCTACAGAGCAAGGCGTAGGTTAAGTCAGCTTATGTTCTTCAAGGTACCCTATAAAAAAAGAAGAAAGCTTGCAAAGCCGCGGTGAAAAGCAACACAAAAAAAAAGATCTGAGTGAATAATTCTTGCGTGGTATGAATCGGGTCAAGAAAATTGCCGCAAGGGACTGTCAACCATTACGTTGCTGATGTAGGTGGAGGTAACATCTGCTGCCGCCATGTGTGAGAAGTCAGCTAAATGCGTTCCAGGTGCAGCAAGCGAAAGGCGTTACAGTTTGCTTCCTTTAGAAAGCAAGTCTGCCCTCCGCCAGCATTGGTCTGCGTGTGGAAGCAGTGGTCTCTCTGCAGAGTCCAACATGACCCTTACTGAGTCAGAGCTGCAACGGGGAGCATGAGCTTTGCTGATTGCAGAGCTATCACAGAGGTAGGGCATGGTGGACCTCTGCAGAGAGACCACGGCTTCCGCACACCGAGGGAATATACTATGAGGCCCCTTTCACATGGGCGCTAGTCAGCTCCGATCAGCGGGGGGATCCATGACATAGGACAAGGTTCCTTCTCTATAGCTGACATTGGCTGATTTGTAAGGGGAACATACTGTAAGGACAGCTTTCACACAGATAACATGCTGATCGCAGCAGTACAGAATGGATGTCACATGTCACAGAGGCAAAAACGAACATTCCTAGTATTATATATATATATACAGGTGAAACTCGAATAATTAGAATATCGTGCAAAAGTAATTGCAGTAAGTGCTGCAAAAGGGGCCCAAACCAAGTACTGAGTACATATGCATGCTTGTACTTTTCAGAGGTCCGATATTGTTCTATGTACAATCCGTGTTTTATTGATTGCATGTAATATTCTACTTTTTTGAGGTTGTGGATTTGGGGTTCTTGGGGTTTTCATGAGCTGTAAGCCATAATCATCACAATTATGACAAATCACGGCTTGAATTATCTTGCTTTGCATGTAATGAGTCTATCTCATATATTAGTTTCACCTTTTAAGTTGCATTAGTGAAATAAATGAACTTTGCACGATATTCTAATTATTCGAGTTTCACCTGTAAATATATCTATATATAAAATGTAAGGTAATGTAATACCATATTATGCTCACTGGATGGCGCTGAGATGCATAGGAATTATGTATTGTCTGGGCTCCTCAGCGCCATCTAGTGGAGGAGAAAACATAGCGGACTTGTGTTAGGCCTATGGGGAGTCAGGTGTAATCGCATGTGTCCATTCTCATCAGATTACCCCCGATCCACCACGATCAGGTCCTGCCAAACTGGAACTGTTCCGGACCTGGATGGAGTCGGGGGTAATCAGATGTAAATGAGCGCATGTTTGTTTAAATCCAGTTGCCCACAGATTGACATTGGGCTTCCGATCAGCTCCACCTGACGGGAGGACCTAATCGGACCACCCGTCTGAAAGGAGTCCAAGACTTTGCACCTGACAAAGTATTGTTGGCGTGCCAAAAAATAAGGGCTACGAAACCTGCTTTTTTTTTTTTTACATGCCTATTCAGTTTGAAACGTTTGCAAAGAACGATGCGGCCAGTTACCAAGTGTGAAATAAAAAAAAGTCCCATCTGCAACTTTTTTTTTTGCATTCCTTAATCACAGGGGTGGATCTGTGCATCTTTCGCCATGCGTAGAGCTTTGCGAATGCCATTCACGCGTCCCTACTGCCACTAGAGGGAGCCGAAGAGCATGGAAAATTCCTATGCTCCACAGCACCACCTAGTGGTGTTAGAGCCGAGCCAACGGCATTCACCCAGGCTCCATGCTTTGCGGAAGATTGGTAAATCAGAAAAGAAATAGACACCGGCACTCCAATAATAAATAATATTGAC